TATTTGAACTGCAATTTATGCCTGCATTAATTGGCAATTTGAAACTTGCAAAGCAAACATGTGCCAACTTAACTGGGGATCTTAGTTCCCAAAACAACAGACATGAGGCAGAGACTGAGCAGTTTTCAAATAGTAACAATGTACACAATTTGGAAAGGTTGGACAATAATATTTGTGAGGACAATGGGGGAAATCTATCAGATAATACTGCTCTTCGGGAAGATCAAAGGAAGGCATTCTTGGCAACTGTCAATCAAGTGAATGACGTCATCATTGAGTTTGGCACTGTAATGGTTTTCACGTGTGCTAAGAGCTGTTGGGGAGAAAAGGAAAGTGTCGGAGAAGACGTTTACTTAGAAGAATTTTGTTTAGTAGAGGCTGACCCGGATGTTTTGTTATTTCAATAAAAAGTCCGGCGGAACTGAGTTTTATCCTTCTTTCATGCTTTTAATTGGCGACGCACTGGATTCACGTAGTAGAACGCTTGCGGTAATGGAAATTGGGCAAGACGAATCAAACGTGGCTCCTCAAAATGGAGCACACGAACGCAGAAATTGGCTTGAAATGATGTGGCTCGTCATATCATCATATGATTATTTGTGTAATTTTTCGCGATAAAAGTGAGTTCTAACGCGACCGTACGTGTTCCCGTGCCCGTTACTCGAAGCAATTTTCAAAGATTTGAGAAGAGCTCGTACGTTCGATTTCTTTTTGTAAAATAAATTTTTTTATTTTGGTAATTTTAACACCAAGAGAGCAATTTTCGATTGAGCGCCATTAGTAATCCGGGATTTCGTTGGTTTTGCTTTACTTCGCTCTGTGATTGGTCAAGGAAACTCGCACCACTCTCTCAACCAATCAGATTCAAAACTAAAAACCAATCATAACTTGGTCGCCTGCGTTTTCCCGCGCTTTAGGCCGCTTGGCTGTTTTAACTTTGAGTTCTCATTGGTTCTTAAGGGAATTTTCCTTTCTTCTGATTGGGCCGTCGTGATTACTTTGGTTTTCTTTTTACGACACTCAGTCGAAAAGTGCTTTAATGGTAAAAGACAAACCAAGATTTATGTTTTTCTTAGCTTTAAAGTCATTGACGGACTGAGAGAGTGCTTTGCGTAAATAGCGAATATTCTACTTACGCATTGGCCATCGACCAATCAGGAATGAGTAATGTTGTTGAGTACATAAAAGTAGATCATTATTGAGAGGCTGCTCATTTTTTTAATCGCTTTTGGAAGTTGAAATTTTGGAAAAGAGGTTAAAGAAGTGAGCAGGTGCAGACCATTAAGACTCCTACGATATTTAGGTAGATTATTAAGAAAACAATTGAATAATAGAAATACATGGGAAGACAAACGAGAAAAAAAAGCTTAGGGTTAGTACGCACTTCAAGTTCTCTTGCGTCAGCCGTCACAAAGATGAAAATTCACTGAATTAACCAAGCGCTTGTCTTTTTTTTCATCGTCGAGAATCATGTCACGGACACTTTCGGCCCAGCTCGCTACAAGAAACGAGGCCTTAGTTTGGTTTGAGACTATTTTGTTCACTTTTATCAACATTGTGGCCTTTTTGGGAAATTTGCTTACTTTTTACGCCGTGTACAGAAACACAGGCTCCGCACGCTTCCCAACATGTTCATAACAGCTCTGACTGTTAGCGATATCCTGATGGCAACTTGCTGTATGCCTTTCACAGTTGCAACTCTGTTCCACGGCCGGTGGATGTTTGGTGAAACGTTTTGTAGAGTTCACGGTTTTGAAGTTTTCACATTCGGAACAGCCTCTTTGGTTACAATGGGAGTTATTGCAGTCAGTCGATATTTCTGCGTTGTGAAATTTGAGCGTTATGCAGTATTATTCACGAAAAAAAGAGCTTTGATATACATAACTGCGGCATGGTGCGTTTCTCTCATTCCATCTCTGCCTCCGTTATTTTTTAAGAGAGACGGCTTTGAATTTCAGCCAGGGAAAGCCATGTGTTTGTACACATTTAAAAATATCGCTTATGTGTCTGTCAACGAGTTTTTTTACATTGCAACGACCATGACAGTCATAACCATCTGCTATGTCAAAGTGTTTCGAGAGGTTTCAAGATTAAATCGTGTTTTTTCGCACCGAAATGACCTCCATCAGCTCAGAGTTAATGTGGAAGAAGCAAAAGTAACGAAAACTTTGTTAGCAGTTCTCGTTGGCTTTGCATGTTGTTGGCTTCCGATTGGTGTTATGGATAACATCGATGCTGTGCGCGGCGAGCATACTTTGCCACGAAGAGCTTACATAACTTACGCCTTCTTGTTATATTTAAGTAGCGCCATAAACCCTTTCATTTATGCAGCCATGAGTAAGCAGTTTAGACGAGAGTACAAGGATATTTTGAGTAAATATTTCATTTTCTGAGCTAAAACGATGCCGGGGAAAAGCGATTTATAAAGCCAAAGCTAGTAGGCGGAAACTTTTTCGTGTCTTTCAAAGCTCGAGTACGAAAGCGTGATTCAGTTGCAGGTTCATTGAATATCGTAGTTAAAACTTACAGAGGAAAACTTATGCGTAACGTTTGCGGTAAAAGACAAAGGACAAAAATACAATCTGCATTCAGTTGTTGTTATGTTTTCTTTGCTTTTAATGCTGAACACCTCTGTTTGATCAGGTTTAAAACAGGTCTTGTGCTGTTTGCTATGACCCTAACTGAACGTAATGCTTAAACGCTCTTTTTTCACCCAGATTAGATCTATTAATTTGAGAGTACAGTTCCTAAAGAAATCATTTGTTATCCCTCCTTGAAGCGTTGTTACTCAAGGTACCTTCAAGAAGTAGATATTCAGTACGGATTCTTTATTTATTTTATTTAAGATTCAGTTAAAGATGAGGTTTAAGATAATGGTGCTAATTTGAAATCAAGGAGATTGTTGGAGACGGCCGCGAATGGCAAACCAAACCAATTCAATCCGACGAAACCTTCACCCCTTGTAGTCACTGGAAAAGAAAGTGTTTCGGTCAAGCTTGAGTTAGGTCAAGTGCAGAGGAGGGAAAGACTCAGTCATATTAGCAACTGTGAGCTATTCTATATCTTTAGAGTTTATAACTGATAAAACTCGTTAGAGGTTACGAAATTACGGAAATTATCGTGGATAAACGAATTTCGTATTGTGTGATTACCGATCGATACGATTTTCAAATTACATGCATCAGAAGCTAGGGGGCCGCCTGAAAAAACCCATTATATACAGTCCGATTTTTTAGATATAACCCCGGAGGTCATCTGAATTAATGAGCTTTTAATTCTCTTTTTTTTTCTGGTTTCCGATGCTTTTTAGCAATTCAAAAAAGGTAAAATCTGATAAAATCAAAGACAATACACAATCTGATTATATTATTAAACCAAACAAAGCGATTATCAGAAGAAAATATTAATTGCTTGTAGAGTTTCGCTAAAAATTTCTTGGTCTGCGAGAAGGACGACTCACTGAGAATGAACGGGAAACACTTTTCTTTCAATAAATTATAAAAAACTTTTGATATACTGGTAGTTTTTTCTTTGGTTGTAATCATAGATAGCCTAGATAGCCTAAGGGCCTGAAATAATTTTTGTTTTCAAACCGAATGTAGAATAGATCCTTAAAAGAGATATACGTACAGCTGTGAGACAATTGCGCGATGTCGTGTCATGTGAGATTTTCATACATGATAAGTGGTAATCGGACTGAGTGGAGATCGACTCGGTCTGTAATCAAACGAGTGGTAACAAAATCAGGCGACCGCGCAGCGGGAGTCCGATTTGTTTATCACGAGTGTGATTACGGAACGAATTGGACGACACGAACGCTTATTACCAATTAATCATAAAATTACAATTTCCGACAAAAGAAAAATTGTCAAGTTATGAAAGAAAGGGAAAATTTACATTAAAAGGTTGTGAATGGTTGATTTAAATTACAGCTTTGAATATCATTGGCTTATCAAACTGTTCCCCAGGAAACTGCCCGATAACAACTTGGCAAGTGAATAAATAGAAAATAGGAGTTTTGTAAACCAACCGCAATCGAGGAAATTGTAATTTTTGTTAGTAATTGGGAAACGAGTGTCCCTCTTTATTATTTGCTTGGGCCCAGTTATAAAAAGAGTGAAAAACACTATCCAACCGATAAATCGCTATCCGATGGATAAGAGATCATGATAGCAAAACATAAAGCGTTAACCACCAGATAGGCTTTTATCCAGTGGATAGCGCGCGTATCCAACTTTCGAACAAATGGGGCCAAAAGTTTATATTTCTGTAGATATAGGAGAAACTGGTGTAAATTGTGACAATTTGCGATCGGCCTTTTTATTGACACCTTAGAGTTTTCGACCCGTTTTGTTTGCAATTCAAACAAATTTTTAATTTAAATATGTTTCCGGATGGTCAGAAAATTTCTCCAAAAAACTCCCCATATCAGCTGACGTTATCAAATCCAAAACTGCTGATAAAAACAAGCTCCTCTCGAGTTACCCATGGGTACAAGCCAATCTGTGTTTACAATAAACTCAGTTTGTAAAACCAATAAAGTGTGTGCGTGTTAGACCGTTAAGAGTATACAAAGGTATTGAGATGTGTTCTCGACTTATACCAGAAAGTGACATTGCTTGCTTATCAGTCTATGTCCGTCAATCAGCTTTTTACACGTGCGTCATTTACTGGTGTTGTATCCTCTACCGAAACTAATGTTTGCAGTGAATTTAGAACTCCTTGCAAAGAGATGGCTTTGAAAATTCCGGTCCTTGTTCACCTTCGATGAACTTGCAATTACAAACGTGACAAGACTGTCTCAATATTTTCTTGATGCAAGGCTGAAACAATAAAAAGCAATATCGTTCGCAAACAAATGAAGGAAAGGTGGTTATTTAAGCAAAAGAAATTCGTACTTACCTTATCTTATAAACTAGAGTATTTATCTTGCTTGCCTGTAGGCACGTACCAAAAAGATTTTGTCACATTGCTTTCGAGTCGTTTGAATGCTGTCGATAATGGCTCCGACGGAATCACTTTCTTTTGCTCTTGCTACGAGGACCGAAGTTACAGTTTGGGCTGAAACAACTGTGTTTGCTTTTATGAACGTTTTGGCTTTCTTTGGCAATCTTCTCACATGTTACGCCGTGTACAGAAACCACAGACTCCGTACGCTTCCCAACATGTTCGTAATTGCATTGGCTGTCAGCGACATTCTATTGTCTACCTGTTGTTCGCCTTTCACAGTTGTTACTCTATTTCGTGGCCAGTGGGTGCTTGGCGAAACTTTTTGTGAGTTTTTTGCCTTCGGAGTGTTCATTTTTGGAATGGCTTCTCTTAATACCATGGGAATTATTGCAATCAGCCGATATTTCCGCATTGTTAAATCAAACAAGTATATTGTCCTTTTTAAAAAGAACCGTACTCTGATGTACATCGCCACTGTATGGTTCATAGCCTTGTTGGGATCTGTGCCTCCATTGTTCTTCGATAAAGAATCAGGATTTGAATTCCAGCCTGGAAAAGCGATGTGTGCGTATTCATTTGAGAGCAATATTCCTTTCACGTCCTTCACTGAATTGTACATTGGAACCCCTTTCATAATCATTTCAGTCTGTTACGTCAAACTATTCTGTGCAGTATCACGCGCAAATCGCGTCTTCTCGCACCAGAATAATTTCCAGCAAATCCGAGCGAATGTGGAAGAGGCCAAAGTTACCAATACGTTGGCAGCAGTCATGGTTGGATTTTCATGTTGTTGGCTGCCTGTATGTGTAATTGATATTACTGACGCCGCGCACGGGAAAAAAATTCTTCCGCGACAAATATACCTCACTTACACTTCGTTAATCTTCTTGAGCAGTACTATCAACCCTTTCATATATGGCGTCACGAATAGGCGATTCCGACGAGAGTACACAGCTATCTTAAGTAAGATTATAACGCCTTTCCGAAACGGAGACAACTGATGGCGTGAAATTTTGACGCGTGCTATCTAAGTAGTAGAGGAGTTTTTTCATGTTCACATTACCTCATCTTAACACAAATGGGAAAGGGGTGTTACAAACTGAGATCTGAGTTCCTTCAAGGGGAACAAGAGAGACGCTTTTTATATTTGAAACAAGGATTACATAAAACCGTGTGCCCGTACATCTATAGATTGTAGATGACGTCAAAATATGACGATATCTAAAAAATGGCACACGAGCCGCAGGCTATAAAATAAATGAACAGACACACGGCAAAATTAGATTAATATGTCTTAAATGATGCGAAGAAAGTGCACCGGCAAAAAATTTCAACTTGTTTCTTAGTGTTTAACTGTTCGAGTCGTGCGTTCCTGATCAAGTATCCTTTAATAACCTAGGTTTTAGTACCCAGTGTCTTTTTGTAGCTCGTGTACAGCTCATAGTTGTCTTCAACGGCCATTTCTAGAGAGACCTTGAAACCATTTTTAAAATTTATACGCCGTGTTGGACAAGGCAATGGAAAGAGGTTTTATGTTGTCAGCCGTGAGCGGTTTATACAAAAAAACAATATTTATATTCTGTTCACTAACATCTCTAGTTGAATTCTTAACTTATTTAATGCTAACAAGACTCAAAAAAAAAGAATTTAGCGCTTGTTTATTTGACTATTGTGTTTTTTTCTACATCTCAGTTTTGCTTACCATAACTACCTATATATATCTATGTATATGCAATAAATATAATTATATCTATATAAACATATGGGATCAATATGAGTGTCTGGAAAACTGCCCACCTACCCCTCCCTTAACTCAACAATAGTCAATTGATAACAAGTTAGGGTTAATGTTAAAATATGTATAAATTTGTGCCAAGATAGGGAAAAACATTATGATAACTTTCAAAGAAAGAAGAGTCCAGAAGGGTAAGCAGATTAAAGTCTTCAATAAATTCAGTGTCATTATCTGCACAAAATGTCGAGTTCCTGTAGACTTGAGAATCAAAAAAGGATTCTTTAAAATTGATTTGGTTTTGTAGCATTCACAGCTCTTGTAAGTAGCGTTTTTGCGTAGGTCGCTTTTCTATCACTTCACAGTCGTGTATTTCGTTTGCTTAAAATTTATCGTTTTATGTCCATGTATCACGTTTCACTTTTAAGTATAACACACAAAGCTTACATTTAACGTCGGCGTATCTCCATCACTGTAGCACATTTCGTGCAGCACACTTCACGGCTAACAAATAGGTGTTTCACGCTTGTTTCACGTTTCACGCTTGAGTATATGCATAAAGCGTTATAAAGCATCACGTATTGTACGCTTCACGGTGGCCTAGGGGCCCAATGAGCAATAAAATTTGTCTGTGCACTATATTAAGGTGATTCCTCAGAAAAATGAGTTATCGAACAATTTTTTTTTTAAATTTCCATAAATGTTCTTCACCAATGTCTGTTTCGAAAAATACAATAAAAAAGATAGGTCACTGTGCTTGTTTGGGAGATATAATGGACCAAGCCCATCACATTTATGCCCGTATTGGCACTAATCACGCGCGTCATTTCATCGGTTCACGGTACACTTTGCTACAGCTGGAAGCAAGGGTTTTAAAAGTAACACTTAAAAAAAAAACTTGATAAGTAGAAAGTCTCGGGCGTATGAAACAATTTTATATATAATTTGTAGGAAAATCACGCAAATTTAGACGACATCGACTCAAAACGTTTCTCGGGCCGTGCTTTTCAAGGTCGTAATTTACATCCTCGTGTGACGGGCTTCATGCACGCTTTTTGCTGTATCTTTTTTTCCCTTCGAAAAATTTTTATTTTATTTTTCCCAATTTAAAGGGGATACATTGTATACCAAAATTATGGAAAAAATGTAGCTCACCGTGTTTGTTCAAGAGCTAAAGACTATCGTACCTCTTTACCTGGTCCATGGATTGAAAAACAATACCGTGTTCTCGGAATGCGCGCGCACTCATTCCCCTGATACGACGATTTTTATGCGCAGTGCAAGATGTGCAGTGCAAAACTGAGGAATCACCTTGACATGGAAAAGAAATTAAAATTTTTAAAAATTGTTATAGAAATAGCATTCACAACTCCTCCATATTGCCGTTAGTACGTCGTAAGCGTGTGTCGCTTATTTATGACTTTACACTCGTATATATCGTTTGACTAAAAGTACATCTTTTCATGCTCACACATCACGTTTCACGCTTGAGTATATAAATCACAGAGCTCGCGTTTAACGTTTGCGTATCTCGATGACAATAGTGCATCACGTTTCGCACGCTTCACGGTTAAAAACCGAGACAGGTGTTAAGAAAAAATCTACGCGCTGTGCCATTTAATTGATTAAAGAGTATAGTTGGCGGAAAGACATGACAAAAGGTAAAAGCCGCTAATTACGTGAACACAATAGATTACTTACCTCCAAAAGTGTTTATAATTTCAATTTTTTAAAATGAAACCCGGCGGTGTCTAGCTCTTCACTTTCGCATCACTTGTTATTTTTAATTTGTTAATCTGGAAAATTAGCAAGTCAAGTTAAAACTGTCATTTCTTTTAGATTTTTCCTACAAGGACTACGCATGTAGGTTAGAATAAATAAAAAAATACTTCACTTCTTTTCAGATTTGTCTTTTAAGACCAGAGAGGTTTTGTCAAAAGGTAAAATTTGAAGATTGTATTTTATGTAACACAATCGACACAAATTACTTCCGCGGCTGACAAAAATTGAAAAATTTTGCTCTTATCAAAATACACAACTGAACAAAACAAATTATTTCCTTTCTATATTCAGCTTGAAAAGCGCCCTCTGTGCGATTGTCCGGTTATCGAAAGTCGTAATGGAAAATCTTTTGATCGAACTTGCTACAAGGACTACAGTTTTAGTTTGGACTGAAACAATTTTGTTTGCGGTTATCAATGTATTGGCTTTCTTTGGCAATCTTCTCACATGTTATGCCGTGTACAGAAACTACAGGCTCCGTACGCCTCCAAATATGTTCGTCGTAGCACTGGCTGTGAGTGATATTCTGATGTCCACCTGCTGCATGCCTTTTACAGTTACAACTCTCTTTATCGGCCGTTGGGAGTTTGGTGAAACTATCTGCCATCTTCAGGGGTTTGGAGCTTACACATTTGCGATTGTTTCGCTCTGTACCATGGGAATAATTGCAGTGAGTCGATATTTCTGTATTGTTAAACCTGGGAAGTACCAAGTGCTGTTTACGAAGCGAAAAATTTTGATCTACATTATTATTGTATGGTGCGCAGCTTTGCCAGGTTCTGCGCCGCCATTTTTCATCGAAGACGGCAGATATAAGTTCCATGCGGGCGAAGCAATATGTTTGAGTAGGGATAACATTACATTTTTGAGCCTAACCTACTGTATTTACATTATCACTCCGTTTACGGTCATTGTCGTCTGCTACATCAAAGTTTGCCGTGCTGTTTCCAGATCAAATCGTGTTTTCCCGCAGAAAAATTGCCTCCTGAACTGCCGGGTAAATGTAAAAGAAGCAAAAGTGACAAAGACTTTGATAGCAATTCTGTTCGCCTTCTTATGTTGTTGGCTTCCAGTTTATGTCATGAATTTTGTTCAAATTCATCATGGGGAATACTCTTTACGGCGACAATGGTATATTGCAGTCGGGTTTTTGTTGTATTTGAGTAGCTCTATCAACCCCTTCATATACGGTATCATGAATAGACAGTTTAGACGAGAGTGCAGAAATATTGTGCGTAACGTTCTTCGCTTAAAAAAATCAAAATAATAACGGCTAAGGTATCGATTGTTATTTATCCCCTGTGGGGAGGGGGCTAGAGGGTTTTGGTTGTGTCATCATAAAAATTTATCTGATGCCCCCATGAGGCCTCTTATGACACTGGTCCCTCAGACTACATAGCCGGTAGTCTCGTAACCAGACCTTTCACGACCAAGCGGTCGTAAGTTTTGCATTTCAGTGACATTTGCACGGTAGGATCTGGGTACGAGATTCACATAGCTGGATAGTGCGATAACAAATATACGGTTTTCACTGTGAATAAAGAAAAAATTATCAATTTACTTTATTTTAATGTAGTAAAGACAGTTTCGTAGTCACCACATCAGACTGCATGTAAAAAGTTATCAAGTGTTCGAATCGAAGCTACAAACTGAACAACTGATATCGGAAAATAAATAAATGCTTACAAAAGTTTGAAGATGCGTGATATGAGTCACGCGTACATTTTGCGTGCCTTATTTCTTGGTACTCAATTTTCGTGCTTGTGGTGTTTCACGCGCGTGGTTGGCACTCCACGCGCGTGGTTGGCACTACACGCGCATGGTTGGCACTGCACGCGCGTGGTTGGCACTACACGCGCGTGGTTGGCACTACACGCGCGTGGTTGACACTCCACGCGCGTGGTTAGCACTACACGTGCGTGGTTGGCATTTAACGCTTGGGTTTGGTCTCCCACTTTAACACTTTCGTTAACAACGCCTTCTACTCACATTTATTTTTCTCCCCTCACACCCGTGCCAAAAAAAAGCCTCGAACGCTTTATCTTAAGCAGCTAAAAGTAATCATTTTCAGTAAAATTTCAGTCCGAAATAAGCGTACGTAGAAAAAGCAGTCCTCGATTTTACAGCTCAATTAAATGACACAAGGTTTTCCTCATTATCGAAAAATGTGTGCAAATTAATCTCGCTGCCTGCCCCCTAAAATCAAACGCACGTGTCAAAAATCAGCTAAACTCTAAATTCGGAAACTGTTGTCTGAAACTGGACACCAGTACCTAAAATCGGACAGTAGCGTCCAAAATCGGACACGAGCGTCAAAATCGGACTCTAATATCCAAGATCGGACATAACTGTCTAAAATGGAACTCCAGCGTCTAAATTCAGACACTAGCATCAAAAATCGGACACTAGCGTCTTAATCGGAAACTGCCGTCAAATATCGGGCACTTGTGTCCAAAATCGACCATTTAAGTCTAAAATCGGACATTCGTGTTTAAAATCGGACGGTAGTGTCTAAAATCGGACACAAATGTCTACAATCGGTCACTATTGTCTAAAATCGGACAATGGCGTCTATTGTTTCTCATCATAATACGGATAAACAAATTGTACTTGAGAACTAACGTGAAAAGCTAGAAATATTAATTACTCATTAAGTATTAAAAATAATCGAATTTTATTTCCATTTTTTCTCCAGTGAAAATTTAATCTCATGAAAAGAAATCTTTGTTGAAAAGCAACTGATTTTGAAAACACAATTTTTTGGTTTTCGATCTGGTAAGTACCTCCTGATTGGCCGATGTATGATGTTTACTGTTTTTTAAACGTATTTAGAGATTTATAAATGAATTAATTATTAATGGCGAGGCATAGTTCTCTGTCCGAAGACGAACGTATGCCGTATTCCTGTAGCCTTAAATCACTCATCTAATGTATAGCCAGCGACACACCTGACGATATTATACGCCGATCGCTGCGAATTTGATCGCCGGACACACTTAGCCGGTCGCGATCGCGTGGCACTTCAGCCTGATCACAGCTTCCATCGGGTGACGTCTTTTTCTTCAGTTCAGAAACAATTTTCGATGCCCTCCGCCATTTCGAATAGTCATGTGATAATATCGCCCAACTTGATTGGTTAATTTTACTGGCGACTCGCATTGGAAAGGGGAGAAAATCGCGGGACCGGGCAGACTTGGCGAATGCTAGCGAATTTACCCGCCGATATCTGACATGTCAGATATCGGCGATTTTATACGCCGATCGCGGCGATCGGCGTACTGAAAATCGCCAGGTGTGTCAACGGCTTATGAGACCTGATGACTAGAAAATTAGGCTCCGCAAACGGCGAAGGAAGTAAATTTCTAAAGGAACTGTGGTATTGCGTCAGTGAGGGAATTACAAGTTAATTTGGTTCTACAAAGTGAATTGATTATAAAAGTTTCTAAAGCAGTCGTCTCGAGCGTCAGCCATTCGTCTGAGCCAAAGACGAAGAACTAATGCAAATGATTAATGGTTGCTTTGTTAAAGCTAATTAAAAGCGTCTGCCTAATTTTCATAAAATATTGAAGACTGATTCAGTGTCAAGGATAAATTTAGACGTATGAAGTTTTTTAAAAGGTGAATTTTAATTAGTTAGGTTACAGTTTTTTTTTCTACTTTTCTTAAAACGGTGAGAGGTGAAAACGTTTACAAATTTGTGCTGAAGAAGGTAAGTAACACATTCCAAAGACACATGGTGATTAAGTTTAAGAAAGCTTAAATATGTATCATGGTTCAATTCCAAATTTTATGCTCTCACAGATGCAATTTTTCATGAGGAAACCCGGCTTTGTGCACAATAAATTACCGACAAACTGAAATTAATTCTCGCAACAAAAACCCGAAAAGTTTAAACCAATTCTTTTCATCTTCCCTCGACAGCAATAAAGGACAAATCTACCAAAAAGACCTCCATTGACATTGCTGGTTTTGCCAATTGCGCGTATAAATTTTTCATTCACCAAGAAGACTTCCTACAGAGGTGTTAAATCTTTTTTTTTCTGTTAATAATCCAGCAAGGAGTCTTATCGGCGTTAAACTTAGCAGTTCTCCTAAATCTACAAGTACAAGTGAAATGATGCTTAATTCATGTAAGCATAGCTTACTGTAAGTACATACATTTTTCCATGCGATAACAACATGTATATGTCTTCTCTTGAAATTACACTATCCTACGAAACAAAATTGAGATTCATTTTCTCAGTCAGCATGACAATATCTGATGTTGCACTAGCAACGTTTATTTTTCTGACTGGGTAACTTAAAGCTGCTTGGCTTCCGATAGGAATAATTTGAACTGATTCTGACTTTGAGAAGGAAATACTGCAAAAGTTTTGGCGGCTAGTTAAAATAAAAATATAATCTCGTATTGAGCGGAGTCGCAAAGTAATGAAGCCAATTTGAGAAATATTTCGGTCATTCCGTCCTCCCTAGTATTAACAAATAAAACTAGCTAAGGAAAGTTCAGAACACATTTTATTGGAGTAAATTTTTAAACTACAAGCTATAAAAAGTTAGGCTTACTGCGAACAAAACTCAGGCTACATATGTTAATCTCGACATGTGAACTGTGGCATCCAGGAAATTTGTAAGAATTTAAGTCATTAGACCGGCGTTGTGCTCAATGCTTTGTCAAAAGCACGCTCAAAATAATTCCGGCATTATATATGTTACCCTACTTAAAGTTCAGGTGCATATAGCGCCCACCTTGTTTGTGACTGTATCGGAAAGGGACGAGTTCGAATCCTGTGGAAGCTTGGATATTTTTAGGCTTCTTTTGACATCTGCAATATTTGTAATTGAAACTCGCTTGCAATGTTTGATCGTTTCGTTAATTGCGATAACTTCTCAAATAACCGCTACTTGTAGAAAAGTCCGCGTTTACCCAAGTGTAATTAGTATAGGTAATAACATGATTTCGAGTGCAAGTTGGTGGTAATACGCAGGAGTAAATTTTTCAAAGTCAACAAAATTGCACGTGGAGTGAGTGCCATTTGTAGTCTTTCAGAAATTTGCAAGTGTTCATTGCACCAAATTGCAAGAGAAATCATGTTATTACTTGTTAATAATGTACATAAAAAACATCAGAGAGTCAAGACCGTCGAAATTTTGAAAGCGAGCGCGTGCTATTTGTAATTTGCACTCGTGTAACAAGAGAATGCATTTATTTTCAACCAATAAGGACGTGCGTTTCTCCGCTCGCAGGAAGGTTTGAAACGAGTCAGGGAAAAGTTTGCAGGGATTTTGGCTCTAAACTTTATCGGCTACTAATTTGGCAATTTTAACGATCAAATTGCCAAAATATTGACATCATTCTAGGTACCGGAAGCGGAAAAAAAGCGTTCTCGCGGGTCTTCATTATCAGTGCTAAACCCAATTCAGACATCT